CAACCATTTTGCAGTAAAGGGTGATACGGTCAAAATTTGGTCAATATCAACTTGACGTATTTCTTTCAATTTTGCATTTAAAAAACCTGAACACCCCTCATTTTGAAGGTGTGTGTGTGTAGAATGTTGCTCCTATTTTGATTTTGGAATTGACTCTTCAGTTGTCAAAATGCCGTCCAAGCAAGAAGAGCAGCGTATCAAAATTCTGCTCGCGCATCGCGAAAATCCGAGCTACTCGCACGCAAAGTTGGCTAAATCGCTAAAAGTTGCCAAATCAACCGTTACAAATGTAATTAAAGTGTTTGGGGAACGTTTGTCGACAGCCAGGAAGTCTGGATCGGGGGGAAATCGAAAACCGAAAGCCGCTGAGACGACAAAGAGAGTTGCCGGTAGTTTCAAGCGAAACCCTAACCTCTCTCTCCGAGATGCCGCAAATAAGCTGGGTGTATCGTCTACAACCGTGCATCGAGCCAAAAAACGAGCCGGACTATCGACTTACAAGAAGGTAGTGACTCCAAATCGCGATGATAAACAAAATACGACGGCCAAAGCGCGATCCCGGAGGCTGTACACGACGATGCTGACGAAGTTTGACTGCGTGGTAATGGACGACGAAACCTACGTCAAAGCCGACTACAAGCAGCTTCCGGGACAGGAGTTTTATACGGCAAAAGGAAGGGGAAAGGTAGCAGATGTTTTCAAGCACATGAAACTGTCAAAGTTCGCAAAGAAATATCTGGTTTGGCAAGCCATCTGTACCTGTGGCTTGAAAAGCAGCATTTTTATAGCTTCCGGGACTGTCAACCAAGAAATTTACGTGAAAGAGTGTTTGAATAAACGTCTGCTGCCTTTCCTGAAGAAACACGGTTGTTCCGTACTGTTTTGGCCGGATTTGGCATCTTGCCATTACGGTAAAAAGGCCATGGAGTGGTACGCCGCCAAAAACGTGCAGGTGGTTCCCAAGTACAACAATCCTCCCAACACGCCAGAGCTCCGCCCAATTGAGAAATACTGGGCTATTGTCAAGCGGAACCTAAAAAAGACCAAAAAAACTGCTAAGGGCGAGCAGCAGTTCAAGGCAAACTGGCTTTCTGCGGCGAAGAAGGTGGACGAGGTGGCTGTACAAAATCTGATGGCAGGGGTCAAGCGTAAGGCCCGGCAATTCGGATTTGGAAAAGCGGAAGCCTAACTGAATATTTTTCCTGAATTTTATACTAATTGAACTTGAAAAAGAAATTTAATTTGATTTTTTAAATAAACGATTTCACCGATATACACGCGTTTTCCCTTGACCAAATTTTGACCGTATCACCCTTTAAATCAATCTTGAAGAGCTTCGAAAATACACCTTTCAGAACCTTCTCCAAAGTGGGCCAACTAGACAGATTCTAGCATCAATGAGGTTTTGGTGGATGCATCAATGGCAAAGCAGTCTTGACCAGGGTTTTATGAATGTTGTTTTATAGTAGCTCTGTAGCATTTCATAAAACTTAAATTGTTTCTTGGGAATTACATCTTTCTCAAAGAGCAGTTCGGGTTTAGAAAAGGCCACTTTAACATCCACCAACTCGCACGGGTTACTAGCACCATTAAGCGGAATAAGTTTGTTTCCAATACATCTGCCATGGCATTGTTGGACGTCGAGAAGGCGTTCGACAAGGTCTACATGAACAATGTCCCCTCTGATACGTTCAACGTTGATGAAGGGGTCCCTCCGGGTAGCCTGCTTGGGCCAATCCTATTCAACATTTTCACGTCAGACGTTCCTCCACTGCCGGGTGGTGGTATCCTGTCAATGTTCGCAGATGACACCTCCATCATCTATAGGGGTCGAGTGATCCGTGCTCTGGCGAGTAAACTACAATCAGGCCAGGATGTTCTGTCCGACTATTTCAAGAGCTGTACACAGGCTTGCCATTGCTCATCACAGCTAAAAGGCTTTCTTTCGTAATTATGAAACTATGAGATACTATAACGGTAATTTTTATTTGTAAGAAGCAAGAATAGGTGGCAAAGTTTGTGTATGACATAAAAAAAAATTGTCCAATTTGCTTTCAGAAGGTCACAGCTAGCGATGGTATGATCGCTGATTGCTCGCTCATCACGTTGCTCATCGTTACAGCTAATCGCTATTGTGACCCTCTGAAAGCTAAATTGACAAGTTTTATGTGTCATACCCACACTTTACCTTCTCTTCTTGCATCTTGTAAATAAGAATTATCATTAAAACATCTCATAGCTTCATAAATCCGAAAAATAGCATTTTAGCTGTAATGAGCATTTGAAAGCTTGGTCGAGTGAGGTAGTCTACCTTGGTCTCACCCTCGATAGGAAATTGCTATTCCGATCCCATGTGGACAAGACATCCACCAAGTGTAACATCTTGATCAGGTCACTCTACCCTCTGATAAACAGGAAGTCCACCCTGTCCCTAAAAAACAAGCTTGCTGTCCACAAGCAGATCATTCTGCCGGCTATTGAGTATTGTGTGCCAATCTAGGAGAGTTGTGCTAAGTGCCACCACCTAAAGCTTCAAAGGATCCAAAACAAGATCCTCAGAATGATCCTTAACAGTCCACCGCGAACTCGTAATTCTGAGATTCACCACCTGGCCGGTCTTCAAACACTCGCGGAGCGAAAGACGTCCACGCTGGAAAGGTTCAGAGTCACCTGTCAGCGATCAAACCAGCAGATCATTCGTGATTTGGCAACCTAGTTCAAGTAGTTAGGTAGGTTCCTGTGCTCAAGTAGGTAGGTTATCACATTTTTAAATTCAAATTAAAAATAACCTTAAAAAAGGGTATCCTGTAAATTAGCGCTATACGCAATCATCACATTAGAATAATTAATTAACTAGAACAAATATCAAGAGCCAAAGGCTAACCAATTGAAATGAATATCCAAATGTTGAAACTTAAAAAACCAACAAATAAACGTAAATTTTACCCTTAAAAAAAGTATCTTTTGTGCAGAATATGTAAAAAGGAGGAACTTCAGATGTTAATCTAAATGCATATATACAATTATGTTCAATTTCCATACAAAATGGTCAACTTTCACATAATGTAACTTTGTTAACTTATGATCAACAACGTTAGCCACAGAACTACAAAAATGTTCAATTTTACGATTACAAAATACCAATTTTTTTTTTATACACCTGTTGGAAAGTGAGACACTAGGTTAAATTTTTCAAAATAATAGCAGTTTTTGATTTTAATTTTTATGTACTGCGAATATTTTAACCATTTTTAACTTTTATGTACATTTGTGAATAGGGTGGGCACAGACAAACAGACATAACACTCGCAAGCTGTTCATCGAACAAGCATTTAACGGACAATTTAAAAGTATCGTAGTTGGTAGTACCGCCACCTGTGGCGCGCATAGTCAATTCCCTTGCGTTTGACGTTTACACACTACTGCCATCTGTTCAGCATAGTGCCCACCACAGTGTACTCAACAGATGGAGGTAATGTTTTAGCGACGATGTTTTACAGTGAGAAATATGCAATGTGTTATGTCTGTTTGTCTGTGGGGTGGGGATTGTTTGAATTTTGAGAAATGTAAAATGTAAAATCTCAAAATTGAGCTGAAATGCAAATTATTAGTACTGCTATTATTTTGAACGATTTTACCTAGTGTCTTACTTTTCGGCAGGTGCTTCCAAAAACTTGGTATTTTGTAATCGTAAAATTGAACAAATTTGCAGTTCTCTGGCGAACGTTTCAGCTCAATTTATCTTAAGAGAACAAAGTTACAACTTGTCAAAGTTGACCATGTTGTATGGAAATCGGCATGCGCTGCTATTATATTGAACTCAGGTGTAGAGGTAGCAGACATGTTTTGCAGTGACAGGTACTCTATTTTGTAGTCTGTGAGAAGGAAATCATCTCAAATAGAGGGTCATCAAAATGCATGGCATCTTGAGAAATTGAACTAGTGCAGGGCTGGTAGCGATTAATGATGCCAAAAATAGTGATTTTAGTGACCATGTTGAAGAAACAAGTGACCAAATAGTGATTATAATTGTTAAAAAATGACTAAAAAGTTACCTAAGGGAAGAAAATTAGTCGTTCTGATGGCATACCAAATAAATGTTGGATGTTTCAGACTTATTCAATTAGATTGTCATAAACACATAAACAGTACGATAGGAACCTTTAAGGCGAAGGATTCAATAGAATGTTTATCACTTAACCTCCAAGCTTCCACTTCCTGGACAAACATAAAAACCGGGAATTCTCAGGGAATTTTATTTTTCCTGAAAATAACTGGAAGAATCAGGAAATCTTATCATTTCCCAGTAAATTTAATAATTTTCATACTAAGAATGCATTTTAAAATAAAAACATTTCATATTCCTAGTTATTTTCATTCACACATTGAGCTTTATAGATCCAGAATGGATTAATCGTCAGTAACAAATACATAAATTTATAAATTTATAAAATTCTGAACTGAAATGTTATAATACTTCAAGAAATTTTCAAGAATCTGGAGTCAAATTCCTTGCACAGTTTTAAGACTCATGGAATTTTATTTTAACTTCTAAGGGCCTCATTCCACGGGAGTTCTGGGGAAAAAATCTATGAGGAAAACATCAACTGCAATCTGCATTCTTGGTACTTCTGAGGAATTTTAGACTTCATGTGAAGCATAAGCTTAAGATAATAAACATATTTTCATGAGTAATCTCCGTTGAATGTGGAATGGACTAATCTGAGGTCTCCATAACTACTTGAAAGTTCCCAAAATATTCCTGAATTTAATTAAACTGCCTTTAAGTTCTTTTGTAGTTTGATAAATTTACATGATGCTTGCAATACTTCTCATCAATTCTTTTAACTTCCTAAAGTTTCCACAATTTTCCTAACGATCATGAATCTTCTCCAAAGTGTTAACAATTCAATAAATTTTTTGAAACTTTTTTTTTAAAATTATGTAATTTTCCTGCTCTGGAATATCTCTGCTCTGAGGATATCTGTTCTTTCTTGAAGTTTTTTTTTTTGTTTAGAGCTTTATTAGCGAGATTAATATCTTTCTCGAAGTGTTTGCTTGTTGTACTACCATGAATTCAATTGAACTGTTATAAAAAATTTTAAGCTTGCGTAACCTTTTGGACTTTTGTGGAAACCTCAATAAATTTTTTAACATCTCTAAAGTTCTCAGAAAATCGGGGAACTTCTTGAAATTTTCCGCTTATTTAGTGAAACTAATTGAACTGAACTTTCCTAAAATTCCCTTTGTTTTTGAAGCTTTAACTAAACTTTTTTGAGATGCTCCCGAAATGTCCATTAAAGTTCCTGAAGTTCTCGGATCTTCCCTTAAGTTCAAAATTGACTTTTATGAAGTTCTCGAAATTTTTCTGAAGAAAATTTCGAAGTTATACTGTAATTTCAGGAACTTCTTTAGGCTTCCACTCCTCGTCGAAATAATTAATATAGTTCTATGATTTTCACTAAAGTTCAAGAATTGCATGAAGTTTTAATTTTTTTTATAGTCACTTTAACACTCTTGGGTTATTCGTGACTTGTCCGGGGTGAGATTTGAACTCGTGACTTTGGCGTGAGAGGTAAGGATGTTAACCACTACGCCAGGATCGCCCCCTGAAGAAGTTTAAATTATCGAAACTAATTAACTACTTCTTCAATAGTCTAGAGTTTTTTGATGTTTTTAAAACTGCCTAAAATATTTCTCAATTTCCTTGAAATTCTCTTGACTGCCCTCCCCAGCAAAGTAAAATAACAACCTGATATCAACTTGAAAAAAAGTCCTGCTATTCTAGATATCCTTCTGATTTCAGATGTTATCGCATAACTAATTTAGTTACCAACCTCGACTAATTTTGTTATTAGTTGGTATCATGAATGAATATGAAATGATGAAAAGTTAGTTCAAAACTTCAAATACTATCCACATTGTGAGACTAAAAAACACTGCCAATCATATTTCAGTTATCAGCGTAAGGCCTTAATACCAAATCGATGAAATAATTTGGAAGTTTGTTGAAAAAATTGGCATGGATCACAGGATTTGTTATCAAGATGTTTTCAATGATAACTTAATCAGTTATTTTTGTGATAACCCAGAAATATTCTTTCGTTATGATTTTTGTTATGTTGGCAGTTTGTTCAACCACAAAGATAACATGTTCAGTTATTAAATCTTGATAACCGGGTATCAGACCTTGTTATCAATTTGGTATAATCCTTTGCTCGGAACCCACCATTTTACTGGAATTGATTTGACTTAACTTAATTTTAACTTAAAGGCAGTTCTACAATTTTCCTTAAGTTTTATAAAGTTACGCTCACGGAACTTTGCCTTAAATCACTAATTTTCTCTGTCTATTATCTAAATCTCTTGAAAATATCGGTGCTTGCTAAAAGTTTTTAATAATGGAACTTCGTTGATGTTCTCTAATCAACTTACTTAAATTTTCGAATTTTCTATAGATCTTAAAATTTCCGTGATATTGAAATACTCTCACATTTTCCGGATATTCACATACTTTTTATTGCCTTCCAGAAATTTTGTCTGAGGAATCCGAAGTTTCCGGAAATTCCGGTTTCTGCAATTTACTTGATTTTTTAACTACCTTTTAATTCTCTGATCTGTCTTCATGTTCGCGGAGCTTCCCTAAAACTCTCAACTCTAATGAAGATCTCAGCTCTGCTTTAAAATAAATGGAATTCTCGTAAACACCTTTAAACATCCATTGGAATTTTCTGGATTTCCGTGAAGTTCCTGAAATATTTCTGAAGTTTTCATAAATTTTCTGGAGGGCTCTATACTGAATCTCTCGGAACATCTTAAGGGTTTCCGATTTTATTTCAGCACCTCATGGAACTATCCTGAATTTGTCTAAGCTTACGATTATAGATTTTTAAACCACTTCCTCTTAAGATCGCTGGAATTTCCCAAAGATCTCTAGATCTAGCTTTTCTGAGGTCAATAGAACTTCATTAAAGTTTCCACATTTTTGATAGTACGAAACGTGAAGACATTAAAAATGTTGTGATCTTCGATTTACTAAAATGAAGTAAGTGTTCAACTTCAACATTTAATGGATTTGAGCTAAAGCTGTTTCATTAAAACTGATTGTCATGTTAAAAACGTTTGAGTTTAAAACATATTTTTTAACGCATTTCGTAAATAGGATTATTATTATAAACCTGGAAAATATCCGCCAAAGTTATGGAAAAATCCGGAAAACTCAGGGAACTTTATTTAGCCAAATGAGTGGACACCCTGTAGATAGAGAAGAACGATTAAAAGTAAAAAAAAACTCTATACCAGGTCGTCAACACGAGTCCTATCCAGAAGAATGATCAATCTTGAAATAAATTCTCGTTTAAAAAAGCTTGATATATAGTGATACAATAAAAAATGACTTTAGTGACTTGGCCTTAAAAAAGATACTTTTTAGTGACTGGCTTGAAAAAAGTGATCAAGTCACTAAAAAGTGGCTCGCTACCAGCCCTGCTAGTGAGAACAAATTTTCTCTCTCATATTTGAATTTTTTGGCTCTCTGGGGACCGGTAGTAAAACAGGTAAAACTACACGGGGAAATTTATTTAATTGTAGCTTGTTTAACGATAATTTCAGGGGAAAACTGAACGACAAAGTCCCTGACTAATTTCTTTAGGTTGTCGTTCACTTTTTTGACCTGAATATGCACCGAAAGCGAATTATTCCAATTTCTCTCAATTTCTATATGGGGATTTTCATCACTTCCTACCAGCGGAACAGCGCCATCTCTGTGAAAAATGGCCGGACGATATGATTGATTGTAGTTTGCTTAACGATTATTTCCTAGAAAACAGTGATAGTCCAAGTCCGTATTGTCGTTGTAGGGGAGGGGGAGGGGGATGTTTGGCATAAATAACTTTTCCGCATTTCTTATAAGGGGCTGTTCATTAACTACGTAGACAGTTTTTAGGGATTCTTGCCATCCCCCCTCCATCCCACAGCGTAGAAAATTGTCCATACATTGTTTTTTTTTTAATTTGTATGGGCTGGGGATAATTGCCAACCAACCCCTACCCCCCTGCTGGGGTGAGAGGTAATCACGCTTACCACTACACCACCAGTGCCGCTAAAATTCGGATCTGATTTTAGTAAAATTTTGGTAAAAATAATCATTTACCAAGTGTGGGCGCTGCCTTCCTGGCGTCTGTAGTATTGGTACTCAGTACGGAAAACAAATCAAGGAAAAGAAGAACATTCACTTCCGCACCCATTTAAAAACGCCTTCTCGCTTTTATAACGTGTCTCATACACCTCCAACACCTTTTCTACTTGAAGCTTGTCACAGAAGAAAAAGAACAAGAATCTTTTGCAGAAAAAGGATTCGAGTTAAATGTCATGAGGATCCGTCTTTATGTTGTTTTTCTAGTTGGTTTTTTCCGGTTGAAAAATAAGCGCAAAGAAAGCAACGCAAAGATGAAGCACGCTCCATCATAGTCGAAGAATTGGCTACCCCGGGGGACTTTCCAGAGATAGGATATGTAAAATTTTCTGAAGATGATGATGACGCTGTTTCATAATCCCTCTTAAGAGCCCAACCGGACGAGAACCCACGGGTGACTATTCCATAATGCTTGTTCTTTATGAAAGTACGTCCTGTTCAAAGCAGGTCGCATTTTGTCTGCATACACGACAGAACGTTTTATCTCGCTCGAAAAATACACCAAGGATCCAGTTACAGTAACTACCTGAGTGTACTTGTCACAAGGACAACCGTTGGAAAAATGCACAGTAGAAGTTTTACCTCCCACTCAAACGGCTTCTACATTCTCTGCCTCGGGTTAACTTTACCACCGGTGATGTTTGTTTTGTGGTAGGAAGTGCACTTTCATAAGTAGGTACGAAAACAAGCAATTTTCCAGACTGGTGCACTGTTAAAAGGAAAACACAATTTGAAAGTTGCAGTACCATTCCATCAAGAGAAATAGTTTATCATGTCTAACGTTTCACGAGATGCAATTTGAAGACTATTCGAACCATTTTTTGCGGCAGATCTTACCACAAATGCCAACAAGATCAAAACACAGACAAACAGACATAGTACTCGTAAGATGTTTATCGAACCCCCATTTAACAGTAAATTTAAATGTTTCTTAATTCCCTTGCGTTCGACGTTTAAACACTGTCGTCATCTGTTGGGCGTACTGCCCATCACAGTGTACTGAACAGATGGCGATGTTTTACAGTGATACATATACAATATGTTTTGTCTGTTTTTCTGTGACCAAACCGTTATTGGATGTCCACACGGACAACTCTTCCTACTTTACGGTAGCTGGGCAAACAATAGGCTAGAGGAAGGGGTCTATTTAAAATGAACTTTTCGTTTAGAAGAAGTAGATTCGAGGAAAAGCACCGCATATTCCAGATGTTCCAGTTTCTGGCATGGCACTGAAAATTTTAGAAATGTGATGTGTAGCGTAATTTGTGTGTTTGGCATAATAATGAATTACCATTCATAAAAACTTCCCACCACATCGTTTATGTTGTAATTATATTGAATATGGTTTTTTATATCGTGAACTGTAATTTAACCGTTCACTCACTTATCGTTGAGGAAAAGTTGACAGTTCTTGTCTTCGGCTGGCTTATCAAGAAAGATGAATGTTTCCAATAAGATGCTGCACGCTGAAGTCACAAATGAACGTGATCAGAGATTTAATGCTTTAGAAAATCACGGCGGCGCCGACTGGGATTAAACCCACACAGATAAAAATTCTGAATTTTTATTATGATATAAACATTCATTCACGTTAACTTGTATTCCACCTCACGCAACCGAGCAACTTGTAAACAATGTTGTTTACAAAGATGGGTTTTTGTGTACAATATTTGCTACATTGCATGAAATGTGTCAGAACTTTACATGATATATAATGTAAACGTATATGATATGTGACGCTCCATTTATGTGCATTATATTGAACAGAAATTTACACTACTTTTTCGAACTCTGCAGGCCTTTTGGGGTGAGAGCCAATCATGCTTACCACTACACCATCGGCGCCACTAAATATCAACAATGTTCTCTGAACTTCTATGAAGTTTCCTATTCTTCCACAAAGTTTCTTGAACTTAAACTCAGTTTCATGAACTCAGCTCCCTGCACAGTTCGAAAAGTAGTGTAAATTTCTGTTCAATATGATGCACACAAATGGAGCATCATATATCATATAAGTTTACATTATATATCATGTAAAGTTCTAGCACAATTCATGCAATGTAGCAAATATTGTATACAAAAGCCCATCTTTGTAAACAACATTGTTTACAAGTTGCTCGGTTGTGTGAAATTAAATTTAAGTTTACGTGAATGGATGTTTACATCACAATTAAAATTCAGAATTTTTATCTGTGTGGACTTCTTGTCAATCCATTGAACTTACCCGAAGTTCCCTGAGCCTCTTTGAAGTTTTCTCAATTTGTGAGAAGTTCTGCGTTCCTAGAAAGTTGTTTCCATTTCTACGAAGTTCCCTGAACTTCTACGATTTGTCCATAGCTTTCAAAAACTACAACTGTATTACCACCATTTTTTGTACGTATTTCAAATAACTCAAACATGTTTCCCTTAATATCTACTATGTTCCCTGAACTTCTTCCAAGGTCTTTAATTTTTTCTTCCCTAGCTTTAAAATGTTGACCAAGATCGCAGGACATGAATCAACAATTCCAAACTTTCGGGAAGACTATTAACATCTCTTCGAATTTTACTGAACATTTGGGCGAAACTAAATTCCCAAAACTTCAACTTTTTCTGCTTCCTCGCATTTCAAACTCATTGCTTATCTTATATTATCTTATTGCGTGCTCTCAACTTAATGTTCTAGGTGCACTTCCACAGTTATTAATTTAGAGTTTTAGATGTCCGTACCATTTTTTCATTAGTATAATTGTGTGGCAAGTACAATCATACTCTATGACCAGGGAAGTCGAGAAATTTGACAATCCGAAATATTTCTAGAACGGGCCGGGAATCGAATCAGTCACCTCGAGCATGGTCTTGCTTTGTAGCTGCGCATTTACCGACTGAGCTAAGGGAGGCCCAAAACTTCCAGCAAGTTCTAAAAAACCCTGAAGTTCTTAGAAGATTGCTGAACTTCTACAACATTCCTTGAGAATCAACGAAACTCCCTGAATTTTCAACAAAATTCCTTGCTCTTCTACGAAGTTTTGTGAAGTTCATCGAATTTTCTAAATTCGCTTAACTTCAACAAAGATTGCTAAACTTAAAAATAAAACATCTTTACAAAATTTAGAACTTCTTCTGAATTTGTTAAACTATGTCCAATCTTTAAAGAAGCACCTTTAAATTAAAGGATGGTTCCGGAATTTCAATAAAAGTTCCTGCAATAAAACAACGTTCCTTTAAGTTCATCGAAGTTCCCAAACTTCCCACTTCTAGGAAGTTTTCCAGATTTTTTTTTACACTTTCCTAATATTAAATTCCCTACTCCGGTTTCCCTTGATCATCTCTAAAGTAAATGATATTATAAGAAGCTCAAAGAAGGTCAAGAAACATTTCTGAACTTCAATTAAGTTCCTCAAATTTCGACAAATTTCGGAAAATTTCTCTTATTTTCGTTCAATTTCTTCAAAGTTTGAGGCAGCACAAAAACTTTCAACAGCCAGGACCAATTGCCGACATAGTTGTAAAAATGAGAAATGTCACGGAGCATCAGCCTGGTAATATGAAATTATCCACCTTTGTTGTCAACCTAACTGTTATAATCAACACCGTACTCAGCAGGTGCTATGGGACGGACTTACCATGAGTGGTAATTTAGTGACTACAGAGTTGCCAGAGCTTCAACGCAATTCCTACATTTTTTCTAAAGAAGATTCCAAGAATTTTCTGCGAGTTTCAAGGAAATTTTGCGAACTGAATAGATATTAAGCAAACTTCAGGGAACTGCCGTGAACTTATGGAAAGTTCTGCAAACTTAGACGCTTTGCAAACTTCAGCGCAGTTTTGTGAACTTCGGTGAAGATTTTCAAACTTAAAAAAATATTGCGAAGTTTAGGATAAATCTGCGAGTTTAAGGATTATTTCACAAGCATCCGGAAAGCTCTACGAGCTTCAGAAATACTATACGAACTTCAGTTTTGCAAAATTCAAATAGATTTTGAGAATTTTAGGGAGCTGCTTCAAACTTTGGGGACGTTTTTCGGCAAGTTATTTGAACTTATACGGCTAATAAAGATAAATAATAATAATAACTTATACGAAATTCTAAACATCAGTAAAGTTGTTCAATCCTTAAGGACGTTCTGCGAACTTCAGGTAACTTTTTCGGCGAGCTTGTGAGAACTTCTGCGAACACATGCAAGTTCTACAAACTCCAGGAAAGCTATACGAACTTAATGCAGATCTCCGAATTCAAGGATAATTTTATGAACATCAAAAAAGATCTGCGAACCCCACAAAATTCGTGTAAACTCCAGAAAGACAGAGAAGTTCAACAACCTTCATAAAAGTTCATTGAACTTCCGAGAAAATCTTCTAACTTCAGGGAAGTTCTACAAACTGCACAAAAATTCTGTAAACTATAAGGCCGTTTATCAAGCTTCAGTAAAATTCAATGTTATCTTGGTATACGAACTTTGAGAGAGTTCTGTGCAGTTCTGCAAAATTATATGAGCTTCAATGTAGCTCTGCATGCTCCAGTCAAATTCTACAAAAAAATAAGAAAACTTCTTCAAACGTCAGGAAAGTTCTGCAAACTGTATGGGATTTCAGCGAACCGCAGGTAAAATTTAATAGCATTTGGAAGGTACTGTGAACTTTAAGCGAATTTCAGGAAAATATTGCAACTTCAAAGAAGTTCTAACAACACCAGCAAAGTTTAAATAGCTTCATCGAAGTTTTACGAAATCCAAGAAAAATGTATGGACATGGATTTTAATTTAAATGTGGTCTCTAGGATTGGGCAATCTCTAGGAAAAGATCAATTTTGACCGATTAATTCTGGC